AAATTAATAAATTTCCTTCCAAAAAAAAAAAGAAAAAAGAACACTCAAAGTAAGACCAAAAAAAAAAAAAAAAAAAAAAAAAAAAAAAAAAAAAACAAAAAAAAACCCAAAAAAAAAAAAAAAAAAAAAAAAAAAAAAAAAAAAAAAAAAGTCATCAAGAAAATCCGCAAAAAATATATGTGATGTAAAATCCCAAGGCACGCAACATTTGCCTAAGCACCATCTACAGATTCTTATTATAATTGCAGAAAAAAAAATAAAAACAGTAAAAAAAAAAAAAAAACTCGTACGGCCCTTGAGTACAAGTAGCGTATAAAAAATGAGTACAACTTGTACTCGTACGGGGGTGATTACGAATCGCAATGTAGACAAAAAGTTAAAAGTGAAAAAAAACAAAATGGTGAGTGAGCGAGCACGTTTTGACACCCCCACCTTTGACGACTTTTAATGTTTTTTTGGCTTAGCAGAATGGCTTCAAAATTTATAGGCGTGTAGGTTACATCATAGAGAACTCATAAGAACAAATTCAGAAAACAACACTTATTTTTAGGCCCAGCCCGGGGCCCCCCGAACGTTCGGTCAGGTAACCCTGTATATATATATTTTGAACGAAATTGAAATCTCATTTTTTTTTTTTTTTTTTAACCACCAGTACCCCGCTTAGCTATCAGCCGCGGACACTCCCGTATATGCGCCGCAGCCTTAGGGGGGTCGTTCAAGGGAAGGCCCGGTCGCTGCGTTGTCGGGCGCATCGGCCTAGCACCGCACGCGGCAACGCGGGACCCTCTCGACCCCGTCACGCAGGAGTTGGACCAACCTCGTCACGAACGCGCAAATGGAGTTTCCTTAGGCCGCTCTGGCCAAGTGCGCCAGCCATACCTCTCGCGAGCCCCTACGACAGGATAGGGCCTACGCGAGGCACAATTTACCTTCACCTTACGGGAGCTGTCACCTCCCTTCGGTGGGCGTATCCCCGCCAAGCTACCAGTCCACACTACGAAAGTTACTCGGTTGCAATCGCAGATGTGGACCAGTCGAGAACGTTTCTCGTTCGTTGTAGCATAGGGGGTACGCGCGATAATACGCCTATCGGACCTGCACGCGAACCGACATCTTGGGGGGCCGAGGTCCCAAGCGCGGCCCGTCGTCGGTCGACAARGACGCATCCCACACACCACGCGCACACCACTTTACGAACAYAAAAAAATAAAACTCACACACACGCACACGAAACGACACAACACAAACAACGCGACAACGCTCCTAGCCCCTCGGTAGCCATCCCATAACTTTCCGGTGCGAAAATCGAATAGGCGTCGCGCGCGAGACTCGGTATAAAATCGCGCGGACGCAGGGCTAACTCATGTCGACTCACAATGCAAGCGTACGYAAACGGTCGTAGTGATGGCGTACTATGTAGTACCCATACTCATGCGGTCCTCGTTAATCTCGAGGGTCGCATTCGGCACTTAAGTGTCGGCTGACACGCACCTTGAGGGTTAACCTCTCGATGCTGGACAACCGCCATGCGAGGTTGAAGACCACACACCCTCTTCTGCACTCTGTGCACAGTGGGTGGTACACAGGTCCATACCTGTGGTGGCAGTCGCCTTTTACTGCCCTGGAGATGAGTCCCACTCCGGGCCTGGGCGAAAGTCAAGGGGTTTGACTTTGACGGTTGCCACGGACTACAACGTCCAACTATAAAAATACCAAAAAGCAAAGGACAACAGAGGGTCTCCCTTTTCTCTTAGCCATAATCTGGCTAACCCCTTGTGCACGACCACAGTAACCCGCGCGCATACCCAAGGCACATAGAAATATATACATAAGGCTTAATTATATAGGACGATCACTTCTCACAGTCACAGTGAGGCTCCTCTCAGCCATATACGTATGAAATCGCAAGCAATCACATCSAGAGTCYGAACCACAACCATACCTGCAATCACATCAAAGATTCAACCAGAAGTCCACGCACTACACGGGGTCAACTTCAACCATTCCTCGCACTCACACCCCTCGCTTCAGCCATACAAACCTCACTCGTGCAACTCTTAAATAAATACTCAGTACTTTTGTTGGATGGCCATTCAATAAAGTCCGGGTAAAAACACAACAAAACAATTCAAATCTCAAGGCTWAAGCCTTTAGGTTGAGTGGCAGGAGTGAATTGAAGTTGAATCGTAAACCGACGAACCGGCAACCGGCCCGTTATCAGTGATAACAGAAGATGATCCTCGTGGGATCAAGCTGAAACTAGTCCAAGTCCTGAATTGAATGTCCAAKAAATGCCTGTACCATAAGASGGGTCAATGCCCAAGCTAAATCATCAACATATGGGGGATAAACCTCCATAGCACATTCTCACTCAAAGCTACCTGCCAACTAAGTCCAAGCCTACCTCTAAGTCAGTGTCCAAAGCAAAGGCAGACTAGTGGCAGAATCTTCCCCCTATTCAGGGTGGATCGCCAGAATCGCCAGCCGTCAAAATATAATCTATCTCCTTTAAACTAAGAAAATTTCGGCAGCGCTTCCCGTAGGAAAAGTACCCTTTCAGAATTTATATCAACCCGAATACGAAAACAGAAATAGTCTTTGACTTTCCAAAGTCCAATTCCGTCAAACTCCCTGAATTARCAAAAATTTGGGCAGCACTCCCTTTAGAAAAAGARACTTTCCAGATTTTTAYTAAGTCGTATATATACTTTAGACAAGTTGAACTTTGACAAGTCAAAATTTGACTAACTCYTTGGATTTGCACAAATTTCGGCAGCGCTTCCCGTAGAGAAAGCAGCTTACCAAAATTCATACAAAGCCAAGTATAACAAAAGACCCCAGAAAATGCGAAAATCGATCTAAGTGAAAAAACTTAGCTCAGAAAATGCAAAATTTGAACTAACTCCTATCGCTCTAGCACGTGGCGAGCAACTACAGCAACTACCTGTCAAACTAAAACTCACACCAAGTAGTAGCCTCCCTCAGTCACATGCGGGCCAAACCACAAAGGTAAGTACTCTCACCATCCCCAAGGCCAACTTTGCAAACAATAGTTCGTAATCTCTCGATGCTTTATTCCCTTATACCCAACTTACATA